CAGGAAATCGATACTGAATCGAATCGCCATGATGGATGTGATTTACACCCCTACTGTAAGGCATGGCAGTGGCGTTGTCATGGGTTTGACCTTTTTCGGACTCTTGTCCGTTTGTTAAGCTTCTAAATGCTGTCATATAGATGAAAAACATATTAACTCTCCAGGCTTTAAAAAAAGCTTAACTTAAAGCAAACGTTTAGATTAAGAAAAAAGGAAATAAGACATTTTCAAAAATGTAATAAAACTTTCTTCAGGAAATGCCTTTTCAACTAAAAATGAAACAAACTGTTTAACTTAAAACACTGGGGAAGGAAAAAAATTCTCACTTCAGAGTTCTAATAATTTTCAGTCATAAACATAAAACTATATTTTCTTTTAATGGGAAAAGTTTTAAAGAGGAAAATCTTACAAATAGTATCCATCTTTAAAATATGTTATGAGGAAACCAACCATAATTCCTGATTTTCTGCTGTTCTGGATAAGAAAGAATGGGGCTGAACTCCATCAAGCAGTAGCGGCAACAGTAAACAGCAAATGTTGCGACATGAAGCATAAAGCGAAGCAATTACATTATGCTTTTTTACTTGATAACAGCTAATTAGGCTAAATGTATTACTAAGAGTTCTTCTTTTTAACATTTGAGCTCTACAGTTCTCTAACTGGGCCTCATCATTATAGCCCATCGTGTATTTCTTTTATTCTGCAGACCTGCAAAGGTTTTAATGCTTTGCTCTACTTTTTTGACAAAATCCAGGAGCCTAAACTATGAGACTAAATTTATTTTTGTTTAATAAGATCTCATTAAAAAGAGGAAAGCTGAGCAGTTAAATTTACCATCTCCAGGGCTCCTCTGAGGATACCACACAGCAGGTTGGAGTAAATGAGTGTGCTGTGGTTATCCGGCAGCTCCACAAAGTCAGCCAGAGGGTTGTTCTCTAGAATGAGGGAAAACTCATCTCCTCCTGGGCTCCAGTTGGTCACGCTGGGAGTAATTCCCAGGTACATTTTAAAGGCTACCTAATGGATCAGGAGGGAAAGAAAAGACAAAGGAATAGGGGTTATATAAGAGAGAAAAGCTGCACATCTATTCAGCATGGTTCTGTCTTGTTAATCATCAAGCAAAATATTGTTTAGTTGTGATGCTAAACAAATATTAAATATTGTTTAAAGTATTAAACTTAAATTCTAAGAATTATATCAAAAAAGGTATTAACTGGATTTAAAACCTACCAGTTTAAACTGGCTTCTTCAGTACTAGACTCTTTCAGGAGTTGTGGAAATAAAATAACAGGGGCAATAATCTCTGAAAATGAAGCCCTACATGGATATAAAAAAAATTATTAGATTTGATTATCATATTAAACAACGGTCCGGGGAAAAATGATCCACCCAGAGATGGCATTTAATCCTCTGCCACTAAAACTACAAAGAAACAAAATGAGGCAGAAAGAATGAAGGATTGTTAGAAGCCTGAAATTGGATTCAGGATATACACTCAATGCTTTGGAGCCGATGTATCCAAACAGTTTTGTTACATTTGAAAAATAAAAAAAATAGAATAAACACGGGTTCAAGTATTATTCAAATTTGCAACTAAAAGGGAAATGTACTTTAAAAGTAACCAGAGACCCGACCTAGACCATTTTTAGATTAAACAGGCTAAACTGAACACCTCATCATGGTGATAACAGCAATCTGTTACGCAGGGAAGACAACAAACAGCAGCTGCTTTTACTCCATCGGCCTGTTGTCTAAAATCAACTTAAAGGGAAAGTGGAAGATATTGTTTTTTTCAGGAGGATCATCAAAATAAGTGATCCTCCTACAGGGCTCGATGTTAACCATCGCCCGATCTCCCGGGGCAAGTAGTTTTTATTGTTGGGGGTGTACAAATTTTATTGCATTTGCCCGCCAGGCAAGTGCAATGATCACAAAAAAAAAATATTTATCACTCAAAATTACTTTAAAATCACCGACATTCGATGAAAACGACCCAGAAGCGTTGCAGCCGCCATTTTTGTTGTTTTGTACACATTCTCGCGTGATTTTTGTCTACCTAGCGGTAATTTTGATGTAGTTACCAAAACGACAAACGGCTGTATTTATTTTGTCAGGGAAAACTAATCCTGAGTCAGTTAAAAGTCAGGGAATTCTGAAATTATGTAAGACTGTGGAAACCCTGTATAAAATAACTGTGTATAATAATTCTGTAGAAAAGTCACATTATATTAATGGTATTATCTTGTATAAACATACCGTGACTCTAAAATAAAAGTTATTAATTTGTGACATTGACTTCTGTCTTGTGATTTATTTTTAGTTTTTAACCTGTCAAGTTTTTTTTAGATTTTTAACATTACAATTAATTTTTTTCCAAGCACACAACAGTTTAAAGCAAAGTTTAGTTTGAAAAGAATGTGCAGGAAGGATTGAAAGGCATGTTAACTCGGTAATGTAGGCTTGAATTCATTATCTGACGCATGCATATACACACCAGGAACCTGGAAACTTAAAAAACACTGAATTACAAAATACATTTAAAAAAACAAACATGTTTCATTGATATATATACAAAAATGAATATTAGTAACTATATTTATCAAACATTATACTGGGCAAGTAAAAATTGGTTTCTGGGCAAATGAAAAGTGAAAGTCACTTGCCCAAAGGGTAAGTGGTAAAAATCCTTAACGTCAATCCCTGTCCTAATTGTCAATCACTCTGGTATGTTTACGTAAGGCCGTCCTACGTTCTCGCCCCTCGTCTTTTTGTGCGCTTGTGCACTTTCAGGTGTATCTGTGTGGTGAGCTACGGCTTCATCCAGTCATTGAAGCTCGTCTTTTTCCCCGCTGTGGAAAAAATTGCAAATCTTGTTTTGGAAAGCAAGCTTGTATGAGCGATGCAAACAACAACTTTTAAACAGAGGGTGAACAAGAAGAAATGGGCTCGTGCGCGCTCTTGCACGTGTTTAATAGGCATTCCCTCTCTGTAGCGGGTATATGGTTAAGCATGTGCATTTTTTTTAAGTGAAGAGTCTTTTCAAAAAATCCTTCACTATATCTTTTTTTTTATATATAGATATCTTTATTAAGTTTTGGTTTCATAACAACAACAAAACATAACAAAGAACAGAACAAAAGCTCAGCAGTGCAGTCCCTTCACTATATCTTTAAAAGAATTTCAGTACCCTTTTTCTTTTTCTTTTACAGGCTGAAAAGAAGATGCTTTAAGCATTCAACTTCTGTTAGGGATGTTAAGACAAACCAGTTAAACAGATTTAAAGATGTAGACGCAAAATTGTTGAGCGGCTAAACTTTAACAGCAGTTAAATGATGTTAATTTAGGGAACAAATATGAAATACATCAATTTTCTTGTCCTTGCATGGACTAAAGAAGATAAAAAAACATTAATGAGAATAAATAGTTTTATGAAACAAGCAATTTTGGAGGTTGTTCTATCATATACACAATACAGCTGTTCTAAAAAAGTGGTGCATACAGTAGTCAGGGGGCCTGTATCATGCAAAATCAACTATTTTTGCATAATGGAAAGCTTAAAGGAGCAACTGTGGTCACTGGGTCTGTTTCCAATTAGGTTGCTCTCTCACACACACTTTGAAATATTTCCTATGCTCCTAATGAAAACAATCATTTAAAGGGCTTTTTTCATCCTTGCTTGTTTTATGTCTTGTAGGTAAGAGAAATAAGCTAAAATTGGGATGAGAAGCTCAAATTCTTACAAAAAGAAAAATGCTAATTTAGAATTGAGCCACACCTTCTTGCTGGTATCTTAAAACATATTTAAATTGTGTTGTGAAGGTGCATACTTGGCTATTTAATGATTGGGGCTGAATAGTTCAGTTTTATATATTCGTATATTCGAGGTTGAATTTGGGGGGTGGGGGGCCGCGCAGTTGACATCCCAAGGCAAGGGAATCATTTATTATTGCAGAGTCCAAACCACTGTCCTGTAATTCTCACTGATTGTCTAAAACAAAGGTGAATCCATCTGTGCACTGAAAAAGCTGGCAAACAACACTAACATTTCAACCAGCTAAGGAATAAAAGCTGCTTTTCTGTTTATGTTTTTTGGAGAATCATCAAAAAATTGGGTTTTTAAATTTTAGAAAACTGGAAAGTGTTAAAAAAAAAAAAAAAAAGCGGGGTAAAGCAAGTGAATTGCTGTATTAAATACCAAATCACATCAACTTCATCCTGTAACTTCACGTTTTTCTTCTTTACTCAGCCGTAAAAACATGATCTCCTGTCTCCCATCATGTGCCGGGATGTTTTGATCTCTATAATCTAAGTTTTTAATCCTGTCCTGTCATCCTAATTCAATCTTGGGAGACATCCACGGTCATGCTCCAATTGGCCTTCCGGTTACCTTAGCGATGACATCGGCTGTTTCTCGGAAATCCTGACACCTGCCGATGCTGGAGCGGGCCAAGAAGTCCTCAATCAGACGCACTCCAATGTTGTATCCCCTGTGAGGGAGAAAGAGCCAGACGCAAAGGAAACAGATATTGTAAAGACATTTTTTTGTTGTTTTTTTTGTTTCACACACTTAATGCCTTGATTTTATCGCCCTCTGAGACTGAAGACTTCTCCTGACTGCAGTGGGAAACCAGCCCAAACACGGCCCATCTCCGACCAGTTGGGTGGAAAATGCCGGAGCAGGCAAGGCAGATTTACTACCTTCTATGGGCAAGTGAGACGCGCCTAATCCTGCTATAAGCTCGGGGTTGCCATACAACCAGAGAAACAAAGCACACTCAGTCCAAAGATCCGTCGGCTTGAAGGGATGTTTTGAATTTTTGGGGCTACAAATCCATGGTTTTGTCTAAACTTCTTTGCTTCAGGATTATTGTATCCGGCTTGGCCTTTAAGAAATGTTTGGTCTGTCCTTAAAAAACATGCCTCGGCATTTGCTCCCTCTAAAGTCTTTGTAGCCCAAACACACATTGATATGTGCAAGAAATTTTATCTCAACTTCAGTCACGGTTTTGCTGGTTTCTGCTGAATTCAGCTGGTTTTTCTTAAAAGTATATTTTTTTTATGGCTACAATATTGTAAATAACTAAACCTAGTAGGATACAATTAAATATCTGATATGCAATATGTAAGACACAGACTCCCTCTCCTGAGGTTAATGGTTCAAGACCTACCTTTGACTTTTAGAGTGATTTTACTTAATTATTTTTGGCTAATGAGACTAATTTGCATAGGTTGCCTTAGTTAAAATATAGATTTGAGTAAAAACGCAAGAAAATTAGGTCAGTTTAACCAAAAGATTGGTTGAACACAACTTCCAACCCGATTAAAACCTAAAAATTTGCTCATCATTGTCCAATTTGCACAAACACTTTCACTGTCTGCTTGAGTTTATTTCACTAAAATGTGAAAAACTGTGCACCTTAAATGATTGTTCTAAGAAATGTTACACTTAAAAAACAAATGGTTTTATTAAACATACCAACCATTAATTTCAATTAATTTCAAAGGAACTTAAAAGGGGAAAAAAGAAAAACAATTGCAAAAAATCACAGATTTTATTACAAACTGTAGTTCTGCTTTCCACCAGTAGGTGGTGACATGCTCACAAGAAGCCTCATGAACTGTAAGGATCATTGAAGCAATTTGGCCAAACAGTTCAAAGCCTCATGAGGCTTCATATCATCATCACTACTGACAGACTTTTCAAAGTTACTCACATCTTGTCCAGCTGTTTATTGACTTCCTCATCGTTCTCATAGTCTTTACAAAGCTGGGTCACCAGAGCCCCATAGGTCAGAGTGAACAGCTCCGAGTTCTAACAGGGAAAAGACAACAGTTTATTGCACATTTACTGGATAAATGCATATGGGTGCCACATACATATTCAATTAGGCAGAATAAATCAATTACTTTCAATTAGAGGGGTCCCAGTACAACTTCTTTATGTATCTTTGAGTATTGGCGGATACTGATATTGACCCAATATGATATCTGCACAAATTATTCTCTTATTCCTTATTTAGACGTGTTATTACATATGTGTAGGCGATATATAAACATTTCCAACCGACATACATCAGTCCAACAAATGGCAATGGATGACATAGCTGTGCAGGTGACTTTGTGGGCAAAGACAATCACGCCCTCAGAGCGCTTCTTCTGTGCTGTGGCTCATATTGTTAAACTGCTAAAACACTTTTAAGGTAAACATGCGTGTTTTGTTGTCAGAAATATATACGTTTCGTGGAAATAGTTTCCTCTTTTCCAGTTGTTCTGACTGCATTATGAGACATTATAGTTATTTGATTCTTATACATTTATTAATATGAATGCGCAAAACTTTTTTTTTTTTTTTAAGGAAAGCACGCAGTTTCACTGGAGGAGAGAATTTTTTTGTTTGTTTGTTTCATTTTGCATTTATTGTGTTAAAATCAATCCAATCCAATTTTATTTGGTTAGCACTTATAAATATTACATTATCTGTGAACAGAAAAATAAATAAAACATAAAACAGTACAGATAAAAAAAAAAAAAAGCTAACACATGAGTAAAAACAACATTCACACAATCAAATCAATAAAATTGGGTAAAAAAAGGAGAAATGATTAAAAAAAATTAATTTTGTAATAATAAATTGGGTAAAAAAGGAGTAAAGACGAAAAAAAAAAAAAACAAATAAATAAAGCCCACTGCCTTGCTAAATGAAATCCATAACAGACAGAGTGGCGTATAAAAACACTTTAAAAAAAAATCTGCCTCTCTCTGGTTGTGGTTCGGCTATAAAAAAAAAAAAAAAAAAAAAAAAGCTAGTCTCTGGTTTGTATCAGTTCTTTCTTTCCTTCTCAGTTTAAGTGGATAAGTCGCTGCTGCATGGTGGCACCGGGGAAAAAGCTGCAGCTGGATGGATTTTGTGTGTAGGAATCAAAACAGCATTAGAGTTTTTGTTTGTTTTTTAGTCGAGGGCTGAGTTTTAACCCATAGGTCCAAAAAAGAAACAAAAACATACACATAGGATACTTTAGATTCAGTTGGATATAATTCGATGTGGGTTTTATTTGGCTAATATGAATAGAGAATCTGTACATCCTTACTTACCATGAACCGAAGCAGAATTTTACAAAAATGAATATAATCATTTTGTGTTTCAGTTATTTCAATTAATCACTTTGTGGCAATATCCACTGAGCTGCAGTCCTGTTTAAATGTTTACCAATTTACAAACAATACACAATTATTAAATAATCTATTAATAGCATTTGTGTACTTTATAAATGTGTTAACACACACTGACAAAAATACTATATACCCACTATAAAGGTAAAACTTAAAGTCTTCGAAAATTATATTTCTTTAATTCCTGTTAAGCCAGAACAGGAAATTATGGCTGGACCACCAACCATAATGATGAGTTCAGAATTTAGATAATATGGGAATGTCCTTACATTTCTAGTAGGCATACGCTTGATTAAACATTTCTTAAAAACTGTCTAATTTACCTTAAATATTTACCTCTCACTAGTTCAAAAGAAAAAAATATATTGCCTGTTTGCCAATGATGGTATAACTCTGAGTTTTTTTAAACCTCAAAAAGCTAGAAGACTATGCTATATTTTAGTGGCTTACTTTTTTCTTCATCAGGATCAATAAATATTGTAAAGTTAACCTACTTAGGAAATAAAGACATGTGACTTCGCTCTGCAGCCTTTCTAAAAACAAAAAGAATGATTTATGCTAAATAACCATTGTCTCAATTCAAATACATTTATATGTTTTTTTGTTGTTGTTGTTTTGTTTGTTTTTTTACAATAAATGAGAACTACTAGGTCTTTAGGGGGTAATAATTATATAAAGACATAAAAAATTTAAACAAATATTACAGAACAATTACCAGGTCAGGGAATTTTATTTTATTTGTATTCTTTCCTACCAAAAGTAGATTTTATTAAAATGATTCATTGTGTCTTCTTTCCTCCTTAAAAATTATGATTTCTTTTTAAATAATCAATGCCTAATAGTTAAAAAAATATGCAAGCCAGACAAAATTGAATATGAATGAAGAACAATAGGTTCCTGAGATGAAATATTCAGATGAAACTGCAGCAGCTCTCATGTTTAGCCAATTCTGCCAAGGAAGTTCAGTCATACTTTATTAAAATGTATTTATAATGTTTTGCAGTAATAGTGATTTTGTATTTAACCGTTTTAGTAGTTCTAATAGTTTCCATTAATGTAACAATGAGTCACATGCTGCAGAGTAAAGGCTCAGACAGGGAGCATTAAATATGAATTATAGTGTTTAAAATAAGCTTAGAAGCTGTTGCTGTTGTCAGGACGCTGCATTACTTGTTACTCGAGTATAAAATACCTACTATATAACTACCTATAAGAAAATTATTCAAATGAATAAAATATACCAACATAAGTGTTCCAAAACTGACCAAAACAGATACTATTATATGTACAATTGGTGTATTTCTAGCTTGTATATTACGAGAACATTTCATTAAGATGCAATTAATAAGAAAATCAAAGAAACACTTTTTGATTAATTCAATCTATTTGGTAACGAGGTCTAAAATAGTAGAACTCCACTGTCTAAACATTAATTTGCTGAAGATGTAAAGTTGCTAGCTTAGCTGTCATCGGTTAGCATTTGAAAGTTAGCTAGCCGGCTAGCTCCTGTGGCGTTTATCCTACCATTTTCTTGCTGTCTGTTGTTCGGTTAGATTGCCGAGACATCGTGGAAAGGGTTACGGGATTACACCGGAGGTAATTCGAGATTAATCCTTTATTTATTTGACTCTGGCCAAGCGCTTAGTTCCGTGATCACCAGTTCAGTCATACGCTTCCTCTTTTGCAAAGCTAGCAAAATAAAAGCGTGAGCTTCCGGTTTATCTGAAGCAGCAACAAGATGCACGAGACAGAAAAGAGTTTTTGTTTGTTTGTTTTTTTAAGGAAAGGGTTGTGACTAAATAAAAAATATATATATCGTTAATTGCTGTGATTTAGAACGTTATTCAGTATTTGGCTTTTTACATTTGCGGAAAAAATGTCCCCCCAATAAAACAGTTTGGTGACATTTATTTTGAAGGTCTCGGATGTAATGCGCACAGAACATCCTTTTGATGAGTTTATCTTTTTTGTTCTGATTATTTGTAAGGTATAGCTACGGAACGGAAGGATTAAGGCCACTGAACGAATTTTTTAAAAAAGTAAACTGATTTAAAATTTGACAAAAGTCAGAATTTTGACTTTTTTCTCAGAATTCTGACTTTTTTTTCTCAAAATTCTCACTTTAATCTCAGAATTCTGACTTTTTTTTTCTTAGAATTCTAACTTTAATCTCATAATTTAGTTGTTTATTGTATTTTGGGAACAATTAATTGTATGCTTAATTATTTTTGGAGCATTTATTTATTTCTGTATTTATTTTGAATTATGGCAGGACTGGTCCTCCATATAATGGCCACCAGATGGCAGCATATCTGCGCCATCATAAGATGGGCTCTCCAAGGAGCAGGCTGCGGTCTCTGATAGGTTACAGATGTGCTTCAAAGTGAGCAGCTCATGTTGAGTCCTGGAAATCACGTGGCTGTTTTCCTGTGCATTAGGGGAGAGGCTGAAGAAAAACTCACAGCACTCCACACATTTAGGAGGAGGAGGAGGAGGAGGAGGAGGAGGAGGAACTGAGCGCATCGCCGTCTCTGCTCCTCATTTGCCTCTCCAGCTCCCTGACAGGAGCCGGTGCCGACAGGAGGCTTAATTGGAGGCTCTAGTGTGGAGGAGGGTGGATCATCAGAGCGCAGCGATGACGGGCAAATCAGTGAAAGACGTTGACAGATACCAGACGGTGCTCAACTCTCTGCTGGCGCTGGAGGAGAACAAATACTGCGCCGACTGCGAATCTAAAGGTGGGTCATCATCCCTGCGCTCGAATCTCACCTTTTTTTTTCCCCCCATCCTAGTTGTACTACAAAGGGAAATAAATGCGGCATTGCATACATCTGCTCTGGGCCAATTGCAGTGATCCTGTGCTACACTGAGCCACATCCTCCAAAGGCAGGCGAATGGCATGCAGTTACATCATGTCAGAATAAAGCAAGGCGTAAAAAGAGCTCTATTAACCTGTGCATCTCTGATTATCTCACTTATAGTGGACCAAATACAGTTAAAACCACTTATAAAGGTTTGTTGGAACCACCTTTGATTCCCAATGAACAGATTGTTCTTGTAGGCTAGGAGACAGGAAAACCTCCCTTCCATTAAAATGCCACTTTTACTGCCCTGATAGAGTGAAGCTGCTCTTCTCAGATTACTTGTCCAGCAGTTATGGTTCCTCCTATCTTGGCTGTCTGCTGTTTCTGAACACAGAGCATCATTCCTGCTCATTTATACAATATATAAACACACCATGAGGTGTTATTGGTGTATTATGTTTGTTTTTTGTCCTCCATGGGGCCTTGAAACATGTCATCAGCTGTTTGCTGAACCTGTTTTGCCAGGTTGGTGGGTAAACATTGATGTTTAGGTTTAAAACATGTAAAACCACCGCTGGATTTTCAAAAAGTTACAGTCGCCTTTTGTCAGGGTATTCCTAACCCCTTCTGCTTTTTTTTTTGTTTTAAAAAAAACTTTAATTGGGATTCTCTACAGGCAAACACAAACATCCATAGGTGGAATGTATATCATATAGATTTGTACATCTGCAAACAATTTTCAAAGCTCTGCACTTAAATATTTCAATGAACCACCTCCGATCCAGTTTATGTCTGCAATTATTGAAGGTTAAATACCATCGGCAGGCGTATTTCAACCTTTTGAACTGGATAAAGAGCATCTGCAATTAGATTTTTCAATTTCTGATACAAACTGATTTTGAAATGTAAACGTTTTTAAAGGCTTTGATCTAAACCTTTCCATTTTAACCTTTGCCTTCCTGCTAGCAGATGAATCTCCCACTCAGTCTGTGATCTTCTGCAGCTTTGTACATCCCCACAACATGATGCTGCCACCACCATGCTTCATGGAGTGAATGTTGTAATAATGCCATAGGTAGCATTTTATAGGCCAAAAGACTTGCTTTCTTCTTCAGTTTTTTCCCAACAACTTTTTTTTCTCTCATAAATAGTAGATTTTAAGATCTGGCAGTTAAAATGACAATAGGTTTGAGGTTTGTTTTAAGTTTACCACCCATTGTTCTGTCTTTCTTTGTAGAAAAATGATAATCCAGCAGCAAGCAAGTGGTGGTATAGGAGCTAAATTTGCCATACCTTTTGGCAGCTTTCTGCAATAAACGCACTACCTTTGCTCAGAAGCCTGTTTTGTGGTAGCATGACCTGTATAGCTGAGAAATGACACAGTTATACAACTAATATTAAAACATGGTGGTGGCAGCTTCATGCTATGGGGTTGCTGTTTTTAAGCGAAGCCAGAGTTGCTGATTGAGACTAGGTTCTTGTGGGACAGAAATCTGTGCCTGATTCTTTTCATGAAATCAGACATCTTGTAAAGCCATAGAGACCAACTCAAAAAGACTTGCAGCCAGACTTTATGTAGCTGGATCTCTGTGTGGCATTTTCCAAGAGGGCCTCACGAGGCCCAGTCTTGTGGGTGAAATGCGTCTGAGAGGTTTGTCATTTAATGGAGACGCCCACACTGAGCTCCCACGACACAGACGTTTACTGCAGGCTCTTACACGACTCACTGAGGGACAAACGCTAAGAATGATTCCGCTCAAAGCTCTGCTTTTGTTTTAAGGCACGTCCTGGGACTAATGTGATCGGAAATACTGCTACACAAATACAGGGGGGTAAAAATCACATAGTTTTTAAGGTTGAAGCTTCTGTTTTGACAATCTTCCCAAACCACTGATTATTACATAGGTGATTAATATTATATAATTATGTATAAATGCATAGTTTTCCCTTACCTGTTTCTGGAAACAAACATTATTTGAACTTTCTTTAATGTATGAAGATTTTTCTTTTTACTGGTTAACTATTACTTCCTTTTTTCACCACTATACAGAGCTCCATCTTTAAACTTTCTAATGGTTGTGGATCAGTTAAGGATCTTCTACTGAAGTATAAATGTGTTTTTTTTTTTTTTCTGAACTTGTCCATATCTTTAGTCGAAGCAGTGATTAAAAAGTCTTAATGCCGTCCTGCAGATCCGGCACTGAGTTTACCGAACAAATGCAGCGTTGTTTTATACCCGTACCGTGCAAACTGTTTGTATGGAACTATCTTTTGGGAAGCTTTAAAAAGTCACACCAAAGCAGAGCGGATAGGAATGTTATATGTATGTTATAAATATGTTATACATAATTCAACAGTACTAAGGCTTGCAGATAGCCTTTTTAAGGTCATCTTCTCCTCTTATTCTGTTTCTGCATGCTTGATTCCACACTCATTAAGCATGCTTGTGCTCTTGGCCTTTTGATTGGCGTGACTGGTCACGATTTGTAGCAGACTGGTATAATTAGACTGCGGATGAGATTAGGGGGCTTAGGGAGGAACAGAAGAAACACAATTGAGCTCTATTATGTAAAAACCTGAATATGAACTGCTGACTAAAACCTTTTGTTAATGTTTTAACCAGCTATAGCTTTTAAAACATCAACATATTATATATGATTTTTTTTATTTTCTATTAATGGACTAACAGAGTATGTTATATTAGTAGGTTATGATCCCCTTTACTTCAGTGTCCCTAAATAAAACCCACATCCAGGGACACAGTAGGCAGGTCAGAGGTAAATTTATGTGGAAGATTAAAGCAGGGTTGATTAATGCATGTCTGAACCTTTGCTGTTCAATCCGTCGTCTGAACATGGAAAGAGGCAGGAAGGTGGAGGAGCTAAAACCTTTAAAACCCTGGAAGAAAACCTGTTATTTTGTGAAAAGATTCAAGAGTAAGGCAGAGGATCGACTTTCAGTGGCGGAAAATGACTAAAGACACACCAGGAGCTACTCTGTGGGGGATATGGATGTGTATGAGCGGCCTAGTCAAAGTCCAGACCAAGGTTATCATTGTTAACTAAAACAAACAAAGTTTAAAAAACTGGAATAAAAAAAAAAATTCTTAACTGAAATAAGAATAAAAACTAGACCCTGCAAAAGTTCTGAAACTGTATGCGTTTACAAAACTAATTAAAACAAACAGAATTTTCAATAAGAATATGCTTATTTTATAACTGTGTCTTCATCATAATGTATTAATGTGATGTCCAGTTCCTGTTTTTGCTATTTTTTTTAGCTGAGCTGCATAACGCCAGCAGATGCAGGTACAGCAGTCAGTTCATTTTTGTTGCTGCTGCCTAGGATTTCATTTCTATTATCTATTTATTTTTGTAGTCTTTCTCACAGGATGTTAGTCACATTTTATAAAAGATTAAAACTATAACTGTCAAGGCTCGGAACAGAGGACCCAGTAATCAAGGCAGACGGACAGATTTCTCAAAAAGGCGTTTATTAAAAAACGGGCGATCTGCAGTAACTGAGTCTAAGGCAGGAATCTCTTCAGGTTAGTGACCACGTAAATCTGACTGAGGGTGATAACGATCGCGTGAGTAGATTACCTGGTCTTAAAGTTTTGTCCATGCCCAGTGGAAGAGGTGGATTCCAGCCGAGCTGCTGCCAACACCATGTGGCGAACGCTGCCCAAAGAGTCCCAGACGATGGAGCTTTGAAGACTGCAGAACAGGCAGGAGTTGAGATCCAATCAGATAAAGGAAGGCAGAGTCGAAGAGGAATCACAGGAGTCTGGGCCAGAAAATCTGAGAGTACTGTACTGAAGGAAAATCCAGGTTGGTGTCTGGAAGCCGGCACAGGTTTGGTAAACAGGCCGAATCTAGCAGGTGTCCAAAGACTCAAACAGATCAGAACAGGAACAGGCAGTATCAGAGGTCCAGAGGTGGAACGGGTCAGGATCAGGCAATCAAAAAAACTCAGGAATGCTATAGATCTCTTTCCAAAGACTCAAATAATCTGGCACTGATGACTGGGAGCCAGTAGGTTAAATAGAGACTGGAGCAGATGAAACAGATGAGCAGTAATGAGAAACTGGGCAGAGCTATACAGGTGAATGGGATGAACAATCAAGATCATGACACTAACTGAAAATAGGGCTGCAACTAACGATTACTTTGCTGATCAGTTATGTTGATTTTTTTAAGTAATGGTTTAATAATTGCTTAGCAAAAGGTTCCTTAAAGAGAACTTTTTTTAACCACTTTTTTTTTGTTTCATCTGTTTTTTTTAACCAGGTGAAATTGAAAAAAATGTTTTATCTTAAATGCAAAATAGTTATGTAATATAATTTATATTTATATCATTTATTGTGAGGGACCGAGATGAAAAGCATGAAGAGTCACAGGAATTAATACAAAAATATGTTTTTTTATTCTTAACCCAAAAAAGAAACTGTTAATGTCATAAAAGAGGCACTCAAGCAAACTGTGCCCAAACTAACTGGCTGCATAAACAAACATAACTGACCTAATAAAGAAATGACACACAAGGGTATATATATATATATATATATATATATATATATACACTGGCTGATCAGACCATTAACACAATAGGGGTAATTCAAACTAAACAAACAACCACAACTTACAAACATTGGAAGTATAGTAAGGTTTGCCAAAAATAATCTATATCTTATAAAAATGAAAACCCACCAACCGCAAACAAATCGTAAGTGAAAAATGCAAAAAATTAGAAAAGGAAAATTCAAATCCCCCCCTTTAAGCTGCAGCTTATGGAACAGTCCAATTTCCCCCTCCTGCATTTAGCAGAACCTGAACGCTGGCTGCCATCTTTGTCTGGGCAAACTCCTAGGCACCATAGGTAAGAAACAGATTAGTGACAAAAACAGAAAGAAATATGAATGAGTGCAAACAAAT